AAGATGCATCCTCGACCATGGTCGATAACTTAGACATCTTTGGAAGAGGGTGAATACTTTTGCAAGTATTAAATATCTTCAAGAACATGAAGAACATCTCATTTATTTCATATCGACTTTAAGGCCTGATTTATATTAATAATAATAATAATAATAATATTATATTATATTATTATTTATATTAGGCACTTGTTAGATATTCAGGTGGGTAGCTGCATCAGCATGCGTAGGCTGCAAAGAAACAAGTAATATGCTGAAAAGAGAAGAAAGAAGAAGGCTGAAGAAGGCTCCATGACCAAAACGTTGCTCTTCTCTTTTCAGCATGGAATAAACCTATTACTTGTTAGATATTACAGGTTGCACTTTTGTCCATACATACATGATTGACTTAGATTTGTTTTTCATCCTGCATACATTTTATACATTTTAGAAGTATCCAGTATAGGTTACGTTCAGGTTTAATATTCCATGTTCATTATTCTAAATTCTAAATTCTAAATTCTCTGTTCTCCCTGGGAGCTCCTATTTGATGACAACTCTAATCTGCGTACGTTCTACCAGCAAGATCCGATTGGCTGATCTTATAGTAGCTAAACCAAAATGTGTTTTTCGTTGTATTGTGAGCCTCCACATTTCCTGTCAACCTTCAGTCCTGGTCTATCATTTAAGTGGAACTCTCTGCTGCTCACGTCTGAGGTGCTGTTGGGGACAGGGGCTGCTTTGAGTGCTGATGCTCATGTAGTCAAGGTCTTGCAGCATGGGGCTTGTGCTGCAGCTCTCTAACTTTATTTTATCCATCTATATGGGGAGATGGGAGGGTGAAGGAAGATGGGGTAGAAGAATGTATTAGTTTTTGTTTTTTTTTTAAGTTGAAAAAAGACTGTTCCTGGCATGTTACTGCTAGTATTAACAGAATATTTACAATATTAGTGCCCCTGTAAGAAAAATATTTTGTCTGTTTTTGAAGTTTCCCACATACAGTTTAAGTGTTGTAACTATTAAAGCCAGTTATTTTTTAGTTTGTCTGTTTATGCATTGAGGTTTTAAGAAATCTTATCTTTATACGTATGCACAATCATCAATTTACACTGCGAAAATTACTGTTCAACAGGTATTTATGCAAAATACAGTATATGTATCTGCATCTTCTTCTTCTTCTTCACAGCCTTAGTCCCAGACTGTCCTGGGGTCAGCTGCTTTGGTTGCTCTTCTCCACTTGTCTCTGTCGATCACATCTTCCTCACTCACTTCACATACCTCCATATCTTTTCTCACACAATCTATCCATCTCTTTCTAGGCCTGCCTCTTCCTCTGTTACCTTCCACCTCAAATTCCATTACCCTCTTTGTTACTTCCTCAACGTCCCTCCTCATGATATGTCCATACCACCATAACCTCGCTTCTTGCATCTTCTCAACTACATCCATCACCCTACATCTTCTACGGATTTCTTCATTTCTGATCTTATCCTTCATTGAAATCTGCAGAATCCATCTCAACATCCTCATTTCAGTTCTTCTCATCAAGTTCTCTTCCCTCTTTCCAACTGCCAAGCATTCAGCTCCATATAGTACTGTAGTACAGGTCTAATCACAGTCTTGTACATTTTGCACTTTAACTTTCTAGGAATTTTCCTGTCACAGATTATTCCAGTTATTTCTCTCCACTTGTTCCATCCAGCTTTCACTCTTTGTTTTACTGCCTCCAGTGTTTCTCCTCCCTTTACCAGTTTTGATCCAAGGTATTTAAAGTATATGTATCTGCATATGCACATAAAAAGCAATATACTGTACAACAAATTTAAAATAGGTTACAATTACTGTATACATCTTATGTAAGTATAAGATTCAAACCCATAAATAAAAACTAATAATTATGTATACTGTATGTAATTAAAAAGTTAGTAAAAGTTAGTTACAGATGCAGCCATTCAAAATGCGCAGGCGATACCGCATTATTTTCCGGTGCGCTGTACGCAGTCTACCGCAAGCTACCGGTAAATACCGCTAGTTACCGTAAATTCTCCTATAATACGACAAGCAAAATATTAGTATCCGGAATTACCGCAAGGTGGAGCTAATAAAGCTCAACCTCTTATGTTTGGGCTGTCGCCATCAAAGTCTTTAACGAAGATATTACTAATAGTATTAATAATGAATGACCTTGGACAAGCTGTAAGTGTAAACTCAAAGTATTGCCCTGGTCCACATTCTTTTTTTCATTGACCGTCTTTGTAAAAGTAACACCACAGGATTTCGCAATCACGCATTTGTTTCCAATCATGCAAAGTACAGTAATTTTTGAGAATCGATTCACCATGCCTTTCACATGCTCATAAAAGAGATTGATTTAGGAACATAAACATATTACCGTATGCAAACTGTATTGTATACAGTATGTATATGTATGTTTAATGTCTTAACTGTGCCCGTTTAAGTATTGAATATTTATATGGAATTTTACCACTGAAGGGAAATCTTAGTGCCTAAGCATAAAAAGAATAGGAGCATACTGCAACGCATGTGAAGGCCATAAACGATATTAATTTTGGAACTTATACAGACAGTATATAGCTGGTCTTGGTACTTTAAAGAAAACATACACACCAGTATTCCATTTCTCCCTAAACATTTTAAGCATCGAAGTCTTTAACTAACGTGATACCGGAGTCAACAAGCATACTTTTAGAATTTGATTAATAGGGAATATAATATGGAATCGCGTATCTAAAGAAACAAATTTTTGTAACCCCCTATTTGGAACACTATTGAGTTAGAAGATTGGGTGTCTGGACCTCTAGTCCCACAGTGTTGATACAGTATTGATTTAGTTCTGTATTACTAAAAGTCCATTTAGAATTTGTCAAGAGATACAAGGACGCATTTTATGACTGAAATAACAATGGAATGATTGGGATTGACCCCATCCAGCAGATTAGGTTTGACACATCAAATCCACAGATTAACCAGAGCACCATGGCACTGGGAGAAAAGTGATGGAGAATTAAGGCAAAGCTGGGTGTAGCTGAGATGATGATCACCAATGGATGCCCTTACCAACAGGCTTGCAGTCCAGGTCATTAATGTATAAAGAAATTAGGAATGCGTTTGATAAACAATGTATTTTGTATTTTGCTTTGACATACTGTACTTGATTAAGATGGATAGTCTGGTGTACCATTAACATATGTAATACAGATTAAAACACTTGGCATCATGAAAGATAGAACACTGACTTCTGAAGCTCTGCATTGACCCATGCTTTTTTGACTACAGCATACCTACTATAAAAGCAGACACTAGTTTACCTACTATTTAACAAACATTATTTATATATAACCATACATATATTTATATATAAATATATAATATTTTATTTTTATATATATACAGTAAATTACCACTCCAGTGTGCTCTGAGACAGCTTAAAACAAAATGGATGACTTATGGTTGATCAGAGAACTCAGTCACAATGGGTTGCAATGGTTAGAGCTCTGGACTTTTTTAGTTTTGAAAAAGCATTGTTAATAAGATTATGACGGACAGTGATGCACTTGATAACTGAGGCTTTTGATAAATTTTTTTAATTGATTAGAATAATAATAAAAGCTTGTTCACTAGTGTAATTATTATTATTATTATTATTATTTGTATTGTAATTCTGTAATTTATTATCAAATTCTGAAAAATAAAAACAAATGTCTTAGGGAACGTAAGCAAAAATAATCAATAAAGCTTTTAAAGGGATGCATGGCATATGTACAGTATGTTTACAGTTAATATGAGTTTTATATTAGTCTATATATAAAGTTTACTAGGTTACATGTTTCTAAATGACTTAATTTTATAATCATGAATATTATTCCGTGTTACATTAGCCCATGTAAGTATATAGTTTGGTTTACTTAAACATACATAAGGAAAGCCAATAATTCTTTATGTTAGTTGAAGACTGATTATGTTTCCAGTTTCCCTTTATCATAAATCAAATTAGGCCATAAACTACTGTTTTAAAAGTAACATCATTCTGGTAGTGACTAGTTTACTTTTTTACTTGTGTAGGAGTGTCTAGAGATTAACCAGCACCATCTAATGGACACCTTTGTAAAAACAGGTGAAAGCTGCACAGCTCTTGAATTGACCAATATAGTGCTACAGCATATGAGATTTCCAGCATCCTCTCATAAAAGCACAGACTTTTGAAAGGTCACAATAAAGAAGAAGAGACAATATGTCTTTTTGTCATTTATGTGGTGCACACAGCCAGAATATGTCAACACAATTTAAACCTCATCTGTAATCAACTAATAAGACATCTATATCTTGAACTACGATGTGAATAAATAGACCTTTAGCATTGTTCTTTAACCAGATTGTCTCGGTTAATATTAAACATATGATGACCTTATAATTTTGTGCCTAAACTAATGCAATCAAAATCTGTCAACAGAATACCTTACAGTTTCTGAAACAAAGGAACATTTATAATTATGGATGAAAAAGTGACCTGTGGGAAATCACGAGGTCACACCATTCAAGTCATTCACACTTCAAATTGATGTGGGTGTAACCTGTTACTCAAGGTTTTGAGATAAATATTTGAGTCAAAAACATTAATAAACGCAAGGCACGCATTCATGTATATCAACCATACTGATTCTGGTTTTCAATACATTAAAATTATATAATCTATAAAATAAAAAAAGACACAGATTTCTTAGGATAGTGTTGCAAAAAGGTAGGTAGGATTATGAATATATGTTTGACAAATTGGTAGCATTTGAGCTTATATATAGTATTGTAACAGTGAACAGAAATATTTTAATTTAGTCTGAAATATATTGTATATTTTATTTAAGTACAGCTTAAAAGGTATGTTACTTCTTTATGTTCCAAATATATCACATGCACCTAAAACATTAGGAAATTACATTTTAAGTGAAATGTAAGCGATGTCTTATCTTCTGTTTTAGCAACACCATTTGCTGGACAACTTCATCATGAATTCTACAACGGAGTTTGAAGAAATGCAGTATTGTTTTCAGTATCTAGAAGGATCTTGTCCCAAAGCACACAGGACAGCAGTTATTAAAGTTGCTATGTACATATTTATGGTTGGAACAATGTTAGCTACCGTGAGTGGAAATTTAATGGTCATTATTTCAATTGCTCACTTCAAACAGCTTCATTCTCCAACTAATTTTCTTACTCTATCGTTAGGATGTGCTGACTGTCTTTTAGGCGCTTTTGTAATGCCATACAGCATGGTAAGATCTGTGGAAACCTGCTGGTACTTTGGGGACTTGTTTTGTAAAATACATTCAAGTCTTGACATGACAATTTCCGTAGCATCTATTTTGCATTTGACTTTCATTGCTGTTGATAGATATGTCGCCATATGTGATCCTTTACGGTATAGAAGCAAGATCACCACATTCGTTGTAGCCATTTTTATTGGCATCAGTTGGATTTATTCACTGGGGCTTGGCTTTGGAGTGGTGTTTTCTAAAATAAATTTAACAGGCATTGAGGAATTTGTGATTTTAAACTCTTGTGTGGGTACATGTTTCTTAATTTTTAACAAACACTGGGGAGTGCTGGCGGCATTACTAGCATTTTTAATACCAGGAACAGTGATGATTTCTCTTTATGTGAAAATTTTTATGGTTGCTAGTAGGCATGTGAGAGTGCTAAATGATACATCAGGGAAAATATGTGCTCGTAATGATCATAAACGAAAGATAGTAGAAAACAGGGAAAGGAAGGCTGCAAAAACATTGGGTATTGTAATGGGTGTTTTCCTCATTTGCTGGTTGCCATTTTTTATGGCTACGATTATTGATCCTTTCATTGGTTTTTCAACTCCTGTCATTCTTTTTGATGCTCTCGTATGGTTTGGCTACTTTAATTCTACATGCAATCCTGTAATTTATGGATTTTTTTACCCCTGGTTTCAAAAAGCATTCAAAATAATTATAACAGGGAAGGTATTTTGCTATAACTCTTCATCAACACATCTCTTTACAGACAAGCATTAATATATAATACCAGAGTGGCCGATGGCACACTAGTGCAGTTTTTGCGAGCTTTTTTAAAATCATTTCAAAATGTTTGTTTTAGTTATTTCTGAAGAGTTGGTATTGCTTATGTTAGCTTCGCAAAACTCTTAACCATACTATAAAAAATCTTATAAAGTTAAATTATGTGGATTTATATTTTCATGTAAAAATGTTTTGCCAATTAAGAAAAACAGTACATTCTTTTGTGGTTTTGCTACATTGTGTCTTCACATTTTGAAGAAAAATTAACCTAAATTATTTATCAAGTTCCCTATACTGTATATTCTGGCTCAGGTAGCGATATTTGCTATACTTGGCTCCATTAACCTTTTTTTAACAGTTCAACTGGGTTACTCAGGTGTGTTCACCAAAGTGTGCCATTATCATGTATGGGAAACATTAAATAATATTTTCAATCAATTAATCAATCAAAGTTTATTTATCAAATGCACAACAATACAGCATGCAGCAGTAGTTGCTGGCAATGTAATGTATTTTCTATGAGCTCACCGGGGTGGGCATAAAAATCACAAAATTAAAGTTACAAAATAAGGATACATAATGATAGATAATAATGCAATAGAAATTGAATAAGATAAACTCAGGCAAAACTCAATCAGCTTTTACTTAGTTAATCGCCAACTGAAGGAGTCTAAATTGTGTCTAAATTCTATGTCAATGAGAGACAGTTAAATTCTCAAATAATAAGTTAAAAATGCTTTTTTATTTTAACAATATGTCCGATTATCATAGTAAATCAATAATTTGACCAATATACTGTATTAATCAAATACTTGGATTCTAAAATTGGTAAGGAACACATTTTTGTGAGACTAATTTACAGTATGTGTCTAAAACTCAAAAGTGTGTTGAATACTGTGTAGTCTAAACACATACAGCTTATGAATTCATAAATATGTACAGTACCAAATAGTGGCTAGATGAAATCCCCAGTTCCTTTGCTTTAAACAGGATTTTTTTTTCACATAGTCTTCAGGGAGAAGTCAGTCATAACTGGAAAGCTGGGAATTCCAATTTTTAAAATGTAATTGTTTCCTACTGTATATAACAATATATAGTAAAATAAAAAAAACAACAACTCTTTCTTTCATCTTGTGTTTTGTAATAATCATGATAAGTTGTAGTTTTAAAAGTATACATTGGAAAATTCTGACAATCAAGAAGATACTTAATAACAGCCCACAGTCTGTCAGTTGAAATAATAGTCTTCACATCAGTTCATGAAGTGACTTGATTATTTTCTCGTGGCTCTGTACTTGAAATGAGTGTATTTAAAATGTTGAGACTCACCTGTGGATTTCAAAGATGTTTAAGTGTAACAAATAAGATTTTTACTGTCTCAATTTGTAACCTACACTGGTTTCTGTACTTTGACATGAGGGTTACTTTTACACCTTTGGTGGGTTAATGTAAATGCAAGAAATGTAAAGTACAGGTCTAGCCTGGTCATTCCACCAGCAGTACTCAGTGTCACGTAATTAAATTTATTGTTTTTAGTATTAAAGCAATATTTTTTTACCACTCCAAATTGGAAATGACCATTTCTAATCAACATGTGTTACATGTGCTGTCAGTTCCCTTCCTTCTTATTCACTTATTCAGCACCAACATGAGCATCTACAGTAGGTGAGGGTGTACAGTATGCAGTGCTCATCACTAACACTTAAAACCCACAGGTCCTGGGTAAGCCATACTGTACATTATGCTGTTGATGGTGTCACGCCCTCTGCAGCCAGAGGGCGCTCCTTCTCTG